CTTATAGTTTCTCATATTCCCAAACCTTTCTTTCCATGGTTCAAAAGTTTGCATTGTCTAATTGCTGATTTCCATTTGTGAATGAATCAGTGTAAAATAAAATTAAGTGCCAAATCAATCTACCAAATTAATCTCGTTTTAGGCATTAATTATCCTCTCAGCCATTTTCTTGCGAACTCACCACATGTCAAGTCGAGCTCAGATCTAGTGATGTAGCATTCAGTTTTTAACACGGGAGCTTACACCAGGAAGTAGAGAGAGTCTTGATCATTAGCACCCACAGCTTACTGTACAAAAAGGGTCTAATTTCAGGTAAATGAAACATTTTTCTCATCTTTTAAAGGTGCTCAACCACCGTTGGACTAAATAAGCCACAGGGCGGAAATTCCCTCCATCATTTTGTGGCATGTTCCCTAGTTGTCCCAGCTGACAAATTAACAATGCTACACTTCCTTTATATGTAAGAGGGTCACCCCGAGTGTGGCAAATGAGGTATTAGATAGGGCAGGAGCTCAGAAACTGCATGCACTGTTCTTCTAGAACTACACCAAGGGACTTCTTAAATAAATCTGACCAATTTCCCTGGTTTCTAAGGTATAATCATAGCTGAGTCCACAGGAGAAGGAAGAACCACATACCTGGCGACCAAATGAAGCTACTATTTTGAAGACTATGAGGACTTACAGCTTGGCACCTGGAGGAGGAAGAGCAGGAATATCTCCAGGAAGGCAGGAGAGGTTCAGAGAGAGGGGGTCCTGAAACCCCTGACTCCCTCCTTTAAAAAATACTTTTAGATTTATTTACTTTATTTTTATGTGTATGGGCTTTTGCCTGCATATATGTATGAGCACTACATGCTGCCTAGTACCCAATGAGATCTGAAATGGGTCCATTGTTATAGGTGGTTGTAAGCCCTGTGTGGGTGCTGGGAACTGAACCTGGGTCTTCTGAAAGAACAGTAAGTACTCTTAACAGCTGAGCCATCTCTCTAGTCCCAAATGGTGTGTGTGTGTGTGTGTGTGTGTGTGTGTGTGTGTGTGTGTGTGTGTTTGGTTTTTTTTTTTGTGTGTGTGTGTGTGTTTGTTTGTTTGTTTTTTTGGTTTTTTTTTGTTTTGTTTTTGTTTTTTTGAGACAGGGTCTCACTATGTAGCCCTGGCTTGCCTGAAACTTACTCTATGTAGACCAGGGTGGATTCAAACTCACAGATATCTGTCTGCATCTGCTTCTTAGGTGCTGAGATTAAAGGCAGGCTTCGCCATACCCAGCTTCCTTTCAATATTCAACATTACTAGAATAGTCTAGAAGTAAATAACCATGAGCCAGCATTACTAAATGCAGAGAACACACTTTCCCTTAGCATTCTGCCAGGCAAAGGGGAACCTGGGACACTGTCCATGGTGGACAGCTGGCTCTGGCTGAGGCCCCCAGAACCCAGCCCTCTGAGGCACAATGCCTTACTGCATACCCGGGTATCCAAGGCTGCAATGTCTCTGCTGCATGCACAGAATGGTCATTTTGGCTCCAGCCTGACCATTTGGGGACAGCATAGAGTAGCGAAAGCCACAAGACAGGTGGCCTGCTTGGCAGCCTCAGGCTCCCTCTTTAGTTGGCACTGGAAGAAGACTGAGGATGGGACTACCTCTGTGATTCTTCAGAGCAAGCTGGAGCAGCACGCTCAAGAGGAGATTCTCTTGGCAATGGAGTAGCCAAGCACCTGAGTGACTAATTAGAGCTAAGAGCAATCGAAGCAAATCTCTGGTATCCTGAGTCGGAACCCAAGTGCAGAACTTACTCTAAATGTTGGGATTTGGGAGGAAGGGCAGGAGCAGGCAGAGTATAAATTTTAATAATGTATATAACATAGTTTGCATCAGGAATGAAGGACATGCTTCCTTTAGGCCACACTAGGTACTGTCAGCCTTCCAGGCAATAAGGAAAGCAACCAGAAGCAAGGTGGCTTGTGAGCTGTGGTGCTCCAGGGGAACCGCTGTGCTCCAGGGGAGGAGCGTGGAGCTTTCAGATTCCATCACAGCCAACGAATAACACCTCGTGCGTGCTGTGCTCCAGAGAAGCTTGCAGGCCTAAGCAGTCAAGCTCACCCCTTCCCCAACCACCCCAGAGGAAAGGAGCCTGTCAGCTTCACTAAAGAAGAAAGGAGGGAAAGAAAAACAAAGACAGAGGCAAACCTCAAGTTGCTGTGTATCTGTTTGAAGGCTCAAGGCAGAGAGAGTCGGTTTTACGCAGAGGCACCCTGGGACCCGCGGGAAGGAACCCTGAAGGCTGCAGTAGGAAATCATTACTTTCAGGGTGGTTTTAATCAGCTTGAGCAGCTCTTTGATAGGCAAGGATGTTAAGGCAGGAAGGGCCCTTTGCAGAGTCTGAAGATTCAGAGGGGGTGGTATTTAACACTCGGTGTCTCCTGCCACCCCTCCCTGTTGGGCATGCTCACACATGCTTCAGCCGTCGAGGCAGAGCCAGGGTTGGGCTTAGACGGGTGGGTGATTATAGCCGGAAGCCCATAGAACGCCAGGCTCCAGCCATTTACCAGCTGCTGCCCTGGTTAGGTATATGGAGGCGTCCTTAAGCTGGACTGAGAAGAGATGAAATACGAAGTATAAAATTAAAGAGAAGATTAGCAAAATCTGCTGAAAGAAAACACCACTAGCCAACTTAGCAGCTCCAATTACATTTACCCACGTTGCACATGGAGTGGGAAATTGTGAGTATTAAGTCCAGGCTCCGGAAAGAAATTACGGGCTTGATAACCTAACAAGGGGCAACGCCAGAGAAGTCACCTTCCTGGGAGAGACTCAAGACGGTATAAAACCCATCGGTCACGTTGAGACAAATTTCCCTTGGTGGGGCTCCCTGATGAGCCTAGCTCTGACTCCTCCCCAGAGCAGCAGCAACACTGGCACCAGTACCAACCACCCCCAGATGTCACTGCGCTCACATGGCTTCCACCCCACTGTATTGTCGTGGCTTCTGTCCATGGCACTCTGGCCTTGGCAGGGTTGGAACACTCAGGGTTAGGCAAGGACTGTCTTAGTCTCCTGTCCATTTCCATTTCTGCCCTCTAGGCTGAGTCTCTCCTGGCCATGGGATTCTCTTCGTTTCTTGAACTTGTTCTTGTGTAGGGTAACTCTGAGCCCCCGGGGAGCAGCTAAACAATCATTATCTATGGGTTCCTCCTGTCATGTCCCCAACAGCCTCCAAGTCTTCAAGTTCCCAGTGCTCCTTCCAGTTCAATTTAACAAATTTACAGCAATCCAAAGATTACGTCTTTAGCAGAACATGGTAGTGTGTGTAGGTGAAATTCAACACTTACAGTAGGCTTCTGGCTCACATGAGTGTGCCATAGACCTTCCCTGGAAGTTCTGGGCAATATTAATCTTTTATAAGGGAAGGATTCATCTCCTTGGCCAGCCACTACTCAATGGAAGATGTTGATCCACTCCTCCATTTCTGCCCTGTTTATCTTTCTTCCTTCTCCAGTAGGACTCAGAGCCCAGGCCTCCTTCCTCGACTCAGTAGCAGGTAGGAAGATATCTTAGGGATGAACTGTCTGGCCTGTAGTCTCAATGGAGATGCACAGATAGGAATATGTGTGTGAAAACACACAAAAAAAGGAAGCAAGAGGCCGGGCGGTGGTGGCGCACGCCTTTAATCCCAGCACTCAGGAGGCAGAGCCAGGTGGATCTCTGTGAGTTCAAGGCCAGCCTGGGCTACCAAGTGAGTCCCAGGAAAGGCGCAAAACTACACAGAGAAACCCTGTCTCGAAAAACCAAAAAAAAAAAAAAAAGGAAGGAAGAGAGGAAGGGAGGGAGTAAGGAAGTGAAGGAGTAATGAAGGGAGGGAGGGAGGGAGGGAGGACGGATGGACGGACGGATCTTCAGCATAAGGTAGTTAGTTATACATAGGAGGACTCTCACTTCCCTTTGGTCACGATTAGAGCTAATTTAAAGAAAGAATGAGGTCCCATCCCACCAGAATAAGACCAAGAGCTAATTAGAACCAACACATCAGGCACTGTGTTTTTTCTGGACTTCTAGTCTTTAGAAACAAAATCTATGATCATAAAACAAGTAGGCACCTGGCAGTGTCACCCATCTGCCTACCATGTCCACCGAGCACAAGGGATTTACAGAGGCCTTGATGTCCCCTCTACCCAACCCCAAGGACCAAGTGAAGGTGGTATAGATGTGATGTCCTGCTGAAATCTACAGCTCAGGATCCGATCTGTTCTTCTGAAAGAGACAAGGCAAGCCTCTGTGCAGAGCTAATCTCTGCTGGCTGGTATCTATTGGTTTCTAGCTCTAAGTTCTGGAAGGATGTACATCAAATTGTCAACAGGGCTGGGGAGCTGGGGTGAGAAGGAGCTTCTGGTACAGCCGCCCCCCCCCGCCCCCGCCGGCCTCCACACCCCCTGCCTCCCCTACCACCAACCCTCCCTCTTCCCCACCACCAACCCTCCCTCTGCCCCACTCCCCACCTCCACACCCTTTTCTCCCCACAAAATGTGTTCACGTACTCCTTCAAATGTTAAAAATAAACCAATAAATGGTCAAAACGAGAAGGAAACAAATGTTTTCTACGTCACCCCCCCCCCCACACACACACACACACACTAAAGGCTGGGCACAGCCAACTCCCACTGCCTGGTCTCTTCCAGTGTGCTGCACCTGCAGATCAAGAACTCCTTTCCAGGCTTGGCCGCCCCTGGGAACCCGAGCGAGCACATACTACAACCTCACCTCACCCGGGTGCCTCCCTCACCCTAGAGGGCTCCATGTAAGCAGTGGACTTTCCCCTTCTGCCTCAAAGCATCCCCCAGGTGTGTGCAGAGCAGCTGCGAAAGCCTTGTTGCAGAGGTCAGACTCCTACCACTCCACTCAGAGGACCTGCCCTGAGAACAGCACAGAAACCTGGGCTCTGGCAGCTAGAGCAGCAGCCAAGGCTTCCTCTGAACCGCATCCGTCACCGGCTGCCAGCACACTCACCTGCAGATGTAGTTTGTCCTGCAGGAGTCCTGCAGGTTCAGGCAGTTGGGCTTGTCTCTTTCTTCATAGGAGCACACAGGAACGATAGTCTGTCGCCGCCGCTCAGTGCAGGCAATGTCCCTGCAGGAGCAGAAGAGCATTCCGTAGCTGTGCTTGGCCGGGACCTTGTCAAAGAACTGCCTGAGGGCCTTGTGGCACTTGCGGCGGTTGCAGACTTCATTGGACATGCTGGTGGTGCACGGGGTGATGTAGGCAGACCTGTACTTCTTGCAGGTATCATCCAGGTTGCAGGCCTTGGCCGCATCCAGGCAGTTGTTCCCTTTGGAAATGTGCTCCACTGCAATGCGGAGAGAGAAGAGTGAGAACAGTGCTTTTGAGTACATCTGCACCGGGATCTCGCCATTCACCTGCCCAGCACACCCTCTAGAATTCAGAGTTTCAAACCTGGTAGCACAATGGTCAATACAAAGAGAAGTGTTAGGGTGCAAAGGCTAAGAGCCTACAGTAGTCCCTAGATGTCTTTGTGAAGCTATGGATCCAAGCCTGGGGAATGTGGGCGCTTGCCCAGCTACCAGTAAAAAAGGCAACTGGAGAAATGTTTCCAGCTCCTGCTTGGTAAACTGAAATCAGGATCAAAGAAAACAGCAACAAATTATATACTTGTTCATGATACAGTATATAAAATGATATGCTGAATGCAAGTATAATTGCCATGCAATCCTCCAGGAATATAATTATGTAATAAATGAGTATAGAACATGCTAATTACTATATGATTACCGAGTAATTACATGGTTATTTGAGCCCAGAAGACAAAATATTATGCCAGCCTCTCTAAACAGGAAGAAGCAACTCCAGAGAGTTTGTATCTAAGTTTCAGCTCACAGGCCATTGGAAGAACACCAGAATAAGGCACATAAAATTTCGCAAACCTCAATTACCACTTAGCTCACCACATCCAAAATGTCGGCTCTGTGGACACTGAAGTTCCTGATTAGAAAAATCCAGATAGGATTTTGGATAGAACTTCTCTGGGCTTGTACTCCACAGGCTTTAAAAATATCACAGAGCATATGCTACCTTCTGCTCAGGATCTCTATGGCCAGGCTGCCTGGGAAACCAGTGCTTCCCACTGTGGGCTGCTCTTGTGTGGTCTGGATGGGAGTTTCCAGGAGTCAGATCCCATCCACCGGGCAGCTGCACATGCTGCCTGGGCCAATGGGGAAGTTTCAAGTAAATGGACTAGGGGAACTGCGCTCAGGACCCACGCTCTAGTTTCTTTGTTGGGACAAGCACCTTGACAAAAAGACAAAGCAGGGAAAGAGTACATTTGGCTTACTGTTCCAGAGCACAGTCTATCATCGAGGAGAGAAGCCAAGATGAGCTCTGAACCAGCCTCTCACATCACACCCACAGCCGAGGGCAGAGAGAAGTGAATGCTGAGCACTTGAGAGCTTTCTTCACTGTTACACAGTTACTCCTGTTCCTCCTCTCCTAGCGGGCTGGGTCTTCCTACAATCAACCACTTCAATTAACAATCTAGACTGCTGTGGGATGTCTTTCTGTACGCTGTGAATATGTGTGTCTCCCATTGGATAATAAATAAAGCTGTTTTGGCCTATGGCAAGAAAGCTTACAACCAGGCAGGGAATCCAAGCAGAGATAGAGAGAGAGGAAGGGCGGAGTCAGGAGAGACACCAGCTGCTGCCCAAGGAGCAACAAGATGCCAGCAGACGGTAATGCCACGGCCATGTGGCAACTTATAGATTAATAGAAACGGGTTGAGTTCAGCTATAAGAGCCAGCTAGCAAGAAGCCTGCCATAGGCCATACAGTTTGTAATTAATATAAGCCTCTGAGTAATTATTTTATAAGTGGCTGTGGGACTGTGGGTGGGAGAGATTCCTCTGGGCCTTGGGGCCAGACAGGACCAGAGAAATATCCTGCTATAATAGACAATCCCCAGAAACATACCCACAGACCAACCTGATAAAGACAGTTACTCAACTAAGACTCTTCCTTGGGTAATTCCTAGGTTGTGGCAAGTTGACACTTAAAAGTAACTGTCACATCCCATGTAAAGGAGTTTCTCTAGAGAAAGTAAAGGAACCTTCCAGAACCCACTGATAAGGTGGCCCATAGCAGCTGATAAGCAGTTATACCAGTGGCCCTCAAGAGCAGGCAGGGGAGTAGCAAACTAGCACTCTACAGAACAGATTCCCAAGCAATTCCCTACTCAGGCTCAAGCTCCTCTCTATTCTCTTTCTTTCTTAGCATGTTCTCTCAATTGACGGAAGGCACCTGGTAAATTACAAGAGGTCAGAGAACTGACAAGAAAGAACATAGTCCAAGTGGGCTGGGTGGGGCTGAAACGTAAGGCAATGGGTACATAAGAGTATGTGGAATATTACTCTGCCTTAAAAAGGAAGGAAGCCTTGCAACCTGTTACAATATAGAAGAAACTTGAGGACATTAGTCTTAGTGAAATGAGTCATTATCTGAAGGAAAAACAAATGTGATTCCACTCATGTAAGGATGATAAATGGTCCAACTCCAAGAAGGCTGCTGGGCTGAGGGGAGGTAATGGAGATAGTTGCTACTCAGTGGGAACAAGATTCCAGCTTCAAGTTGAGTATGTTCTTCAAGTTGAGAGGTCTTCAATACAAGAACCTGTCTAAAGTTACTGATCCTGTACTTAGTCTTACATTTCTGCTAGGGGGTTGCTGAGATGGTTCAGAAGGTAAAGGTGTTTACTGTCCAGCCTGACCCGAGTATGACCTCTGGAACCCACATGGTGCAAGGAGAGAGCCAGCTAACACAAGCTGGCCTCTGACCTCCACACCATGGTACTCCCTCATCATCACCCCCAACACACACAAAATAAATCAAAATATAATAACCATTTTAATTGCTAGAAGGTAAGATTGCATAATAGATATCCTTACCACAACCTCAGAAATAGCTTTTACAGAACACAAACATAAAGGCACACAAAGTAACCAAAATTTCAAAGAGTTTTTCTATGGAAAAAAGTGGCTGGTTTTAAGAAAGTATTCCAAATGGGAACCCACTTTATAGCCTGGTACCACAAGCCGTGAGCTACTGCACTGTCTGTGGTCTCCGAGACCTGCAGGTCCCATATGGAGGGCGGCAAGAAGACTTCTAGCCTTTCATAGTGAGTGATGCAGCTGTTCCAGAGATCCACCTGCCTCTGCCTCCTGAGTGTTGGGGGGACTAAAGGTGTGAGCCACCACTGTCTGCAATTTCTTTTCTAAGTACAAGGACTTATGCACCCCAGGCTGGCCTTGAGCTCCACTTGCAGCTGAGGATAATCTTGAACCTCTAATACTCTTGCTTATCATCTGGAGTTCTGGGATCACACGTGTGTGTCACGTGAAGTTTGCAGGGTGCCAGGGCATCAGGCATGCTACACACTTGGCCGACTGAGCCCTTGAGATGTCGAATGCTGGGCTGCTAGATCCAAGGATAATTTGTGGTTTTGCGTGTCTATAGTCCTCTAAGTTTATACATCGTGAATGCTTTATGATAACTGAAAATAATAAACTTATTTCATATCATCTGGGATAGGCCCTTAAGGCTAGATGATAGTGGCACCTTCGTGTCTGTACTGATGTCTAAAGTCTGCATAGAACAAAATCATCTGAGACAGAAGAGGCTAACACATAAGGAATGTCGCCAGTGACACATGACGCAGCAACGCATACAACCTCAAAGGAGAACAATGGAGATGTCACCCCATGCACCAGGCATCACAGGCCTGCTGAACTAAAACGAACCTGGGCTCACATCTGGCACCAGGTTCATTACGATGATAAGAATTCACTAAGTTCCAGCGGAACAATGTTACATTGAACTGTTATTCATTTGCATTCTGTTGATTTCAAAGTTTAATCTTTTACTATTTAACTTGTGTTGCTTTTACAATGGTGTGAAAACAAGCAAAGGCTCTTTCTGCTTACCATCTAAGATGATATTACAATAAAGTAATAAGTCAACCTATGACACCCACAAAATTTCTTTTTCTCTGGAAGTAATCCATACTGCAACATACAAGCTTAAGAAACACTTGCCAGGCGGTAGTGGCGCACGCCTTTAATCCCAGCACTCGGGAGGCAGAGGCAGGCGGATCTCTGTGAGTTCGAGGCCAGCCTGGTCTCCAAAGCGAGTTCCAGGAAAGGCACAAAGCTACACAGAGAAACCCTGTCTCAAAAAACCAAAAAAAAAAAAAAAGAAACACTTGTCTGGTATATACTTCTCTGTTCCCACAACATTGTTGCCTATTGAACATTTTTTAGAATTACATAAGCTATTAGCTTCTCTGTCTGTCTGTCTGTGTGTGTGTGTGTGTGTGTGTGTGTGTGTGTGTGTGTGTGTGTGTTTGCGTGTGTGTACAAATGTCTGCATGCATATGTGGAAGCGAGGTCAGTATCGGAAGCAGGTCAGCTCTAGCACCCGTCATCTGTTTGAGACAGGCTCTCTCATGGAACCTAGAGCACATACACACCCAGCTAGCCTGGCTGGCCAGAGTGCTCCAGAGTCCTGTCTGACTCCTCTAGCCCCAGCACTGGGATCACATGGTCATACTCTGCCATGCCAGGCTTTTATGTGCGTGCTGGGGACCTAAACTCAGTTCCTCACCCTTATGCAGCAAATGCTTTGCAGACTGGGCCATCACCTCTGCCCAGCTCTTTTTTCCTCCTTAACGTTATAAAGAAAAGAAAAGCAATATTCTAAAGGCAAAGCTTTGTACAAAGTAGAAACAGTAAAGTGTGTTATGTCTGAACCAATTGTCCACAGCTAACTTAGTTTAGCAGTAGCTGTGACTTTGCCTCACTTTCTGCTGATTCTATTTTCTTCCATACATTAAGCCTTGCCATTACACCATCTCCTTACTGTAATTTCAAAGCCTGTGACAAATTCTAAAGTGTACAACCTGGCACATTTGGAGGGGCAAAACCAATTTATTGCCACCTCACAGGTTATAAGTGACTTCCGACACATTTCTGACCCTTATGAAAGGGTCAAAGACTTCCACTACATTTCTCACCTCGATGAGACCAGGAAATCCAAACACAGGGACCCAGCAGAGGCAAAAACAAGCCAACAACAAACTCCCACTCCATACAAAAACAGATGTAAAAATCTCCCACAAATTTGAGCGAGTTGTTTAGCAATATGTTAAGAAGACAACACACTATTTCCCCAAGGATCCAAAACAAGTTTGATGTTTAAAATTCAATGTGATTCCACAGTAACAGAATTCAAGAAGAAAAAAATACATTACTTTAGTAGAAAAAAAATGTGTTGAGTGAATTCC